CAGTTGGGGTGAGAGAGGAGCCAGGAGCATTTAAGGGTGGTGGACTGGAAAGCCAGAAGCAGACTTCTGAACACAGAAGTTCAGCAAACTTCTTCATTCGGAACTAGTCAGGTCCTAAGAGCGCTGGACCAGTGAGGCCCAGCCAGTATTTCATCTAAAAAAGTGCAGTTCTTACTGGATTTATTATCAAATAAACCTGAGATTTAGGCTCCTTTAGCAGTGATTAAGGAAAAACATAACACAAATATAATTAAAATAAAGAACATCTGAACACAGAAGTTCAGCAAACTTCTTCATTCGGAACTAGTCAGGTCCTAAGAGCGCTGGACCAGTGAGGCCCAGCCAGTATTTCATCTAAAAAAGTGCAGTTCTTACTGGATTTATTATCAAATAAACCTGAGATTTAGGCTCCTTTAGCAGTGATTAAGGAAAAACATAACACAAATATAATTAAAATAAAGAACAGCAGATTATTTATGTCCAAATACACCCTCTCGGCAGCAGTGAAACTTATAAATTAAAATCTTCTATTCTCCACTTTCTTGCTCCACCGCTTCCTCCCGCCTGGCCAAAAAACCCCCCCAAAACAAAAACAAAGCTTAATGTTTCCATATGAGACTGAGACCAGTTGCAAACTACATTTGGATGTAAAATAGCTTCCATACAAAACTAATTTAAAATCTGGATTCAAGCAAATAGGTGGCCAAGGTAATCTGCCAGGCTCATCTAATGTACTGGTGAATCCTATTTAAAAATCAAAATATTTATGCATTAAAATTCATCATAGGTTGGTAACTAGAAGAAGTCGTAACTTTAATTAGGTAGACTTGATCAGATTGTTAGTTTTACAATATCTGTGTAATACACTAGAATCATGAGAATCCAAGGATGAGCTCTTAGAGAATTTCACAGAATTTTTGCAGCGAGTAAAAGACCCTAAGATAGTATAACTTTTTTCTAAGCTCTCTACAATGTTACTTAACCTTAGACATTTTACATTTGAATTATTTTAAATGTTATGTAGTATTATACAGATTTTTATTTACTTTGCACTTTTTCAAATATAAAATCTTTAACACAATTAAGTATTTTCAATTCCTCAAAGTAAACCACTTAGTATTATTTTTCAAATTTCAGGACCCCAGGATTAAAGCAAAATGTAATTCTCCAAATCCCATGGATTGTATATCCTCATTAAATATATCAACAGGAAATTACTTGATTTGTTTTGTTTCCTTTTGGGACTGTCAATTGATGAGACAAATTCACTGTGACCTGAAGGACTGATACCATTACGATCTCTCCAGTTATCAGATTCAGTACCACTTCCCAAATGTTCCCGACTGCTGGAACATGAGAGAGACATTGATGAACCCTGCAAGGGACCACAAGGAAATTATTGCAGAAACAGAAATGTTACACTGATTTGTGATTTGACAATTTGTTTCTCTGAAGCAGCTCAGTTAAACACACCAGCTTTTCAATAATTTTAAATATGCTGTTTACAGTTAAATATGAACCAACGAATTATTACAATTTATGCATTTTAGACAGAAACTTCTGTTTCTATGAAAAAGTTTAAGCAAAGTTACCTTTAAAAAAACCAAGCTTCATATAGTGAGACAATTGCTATTTACTGAGAAGCAGTGCTTTAGCACTGTGTTTTCAACCAGTGGTACGAGTACCTTTATGGGGACTTGAGAGAAGTCAACACAACTGAAATTTGGAGAAAACTGAATTTTTGCTTTAAGTTTTATAGCGGTTTATTATTTTTGTACTTTTTACAACCAAAAATTTCATTGCTTGCTTTATAGTAATAGAGATGTAGCCGTGTTACTCTAGTCTAGCTGAAACAAAAAATAGGACTATGTAGCACTTTAAAGACTAACAAGATGGTTTATTAGGTGATGAGCTTTCGTGGGCCAGACCCACTTCCTCAGATCAAATTGTGGAAGAAAATAGACATGACCATATATACCAAAGGGATACAATCAAAAAAAGTGAACACATATAAAAAGGAGAAATCAAATTTCAGAACAGAGGGGGGATGAGGAGGGAAAGTAAATGACTGCGAGCTAATGATATTAGAGGTGATAATTGGGGAAGCTATGTTTGTAATGGGTAAGATAATTAGCATCTTTGTTAAGATCCCGGCGTAAAGTGTCAAATTTAAGCATTGCTTGCCTTGGCTTCGATTAAGTTGTTTAAACAAATGTGTTGCAATGGTAGAAAAAAATTTGTGCGTCCGAAAACTGTAGGTACTTATAATGTTTTTTTTTTTTAGGGGTACTTTATAAAAGAAAAAAAGTTTGAGAAACAATGCTTTAGCATATATCTTCTGGACCACATCAAGAATGAAAATGTAAAGGATAAAGTGATTAGCAGTGCTTTCTGCTATGAATAACAAAGTCTTGAAAAAAGCCAAAGGGAAGCAAGGAACATATTATAAGAGTGCCAGGGTTTTTATTTTCACCAGATGTTTGCACAACAGCACATACCAAACTGGGAACTGGAGTCACTGAAAAAATAAGAATTTAGCAGTAGAAAGAACGGAGGATGTGGTTTGTGCCTGGTCAGACTCCAAATGACTAAGGCTCAAAACCTTTTTCTTCTGGAATAATGTGTTTGCTAATAAACTTGTAGAAACAGTGAACGTATAATGGTTTGGAGAAAATAGGAAACAGCTTAACAAATATACAAAGACAAATGAGTCTGATAGCTGAGAAGTAATGTTAGCAGGATATTTTTTCAGAAAATTGGCAGAGATTGCTTTACATTTTTCTTCTTCTTGTTTTTCTGGTTCATAGATACAATACTGCAAATTTCCCACATGTAGCTGAAAGATATACCTTGACTTTATGCACACCAAAGGGGAAGCACCAAGCCACACCTTTATTGTGGTTCAATATGTGTTTTGTACCCAAATAAGAATGTCCCTGCCCAAAGAGCCCACCTACCTAGAATTTAGACAACATGAATGAAGATGGAAATAAAGAGGTCGGCTGTGGTGGGGCTGGACAGGATTACAACAGCATGATGCAATGCAAAACAATTGTCAGAATTAGTACAAAAATGGAGTTTAAGTAGAGGACAGGGCCTTCTCTGTGCAGCCTCTGACTTCAGGCCTCTTTGAAATTTATAGCTGCTGTTTCCTAAGAAAGGAGGTGCCACTCTCCTTGTACAGGAGTGAATACCAATGCAGCAATTCTCAGGGACAAAAGGGAGTGCAAATAGAACTCCCTGCATTCATCATTCTACTAACCTGCAGTAAGCTCTATTACAGTTTACTTTCAAACTAATACTTTCATACTTCACTAATTAATACATTACCCACTCCTGTGATATTTTTAATTTGCTCCACAAGATCAATTTCTGGAAACAGATTTTTTTAAAAAATATTAACAATGGGATTACCATTATTTTATGGATGGACTGGATGTTTCCAGTATGCCAAGATATAAGGAGCTTTTTGCTGGAAGAGATTATGCAGCATCTTCAAGCACTAATTCAGGTAAGAGTCTCACAAGATTTTTACAAACATATACACATTTAAATATAAGAAATGCCTACTGAATTTATGGAAAACATTTAAAATATTCTGTAATTTTACATACTTCATACGTAGTTGTCATGGATGGCTTGTACGATACGTGATTAGCTCTTCTTAGTTCTTTGATGGTTTCTGCAGGCATCGATTTGGAGAATCCTAGGCCACTCCATGTATTTGTTGGAGTTCTCACTTCTGTTACAACAGGTTTCTTTAACATAGCTTAAAAATGCAAAGAAAAAGACATTTAAAAGCACTAAGCCCAGAACATTAACAAATAAATGCATCTTTCAGGCCAAACACTGACATTCTAGACACAGACAGGTCATGTTAACCCACATTCTCAGCATCTCAGATTTCCAAGAGGGCCTCATTCCCACTCTTTTTCAGACCCTTGTAAGACAGGAACAAGTCCATAGAAGCTACAAAGTAGTAAACACTGTGCAGAAGCTAAGACAATCAGGCCCATGATGTTTAAAGAAAATCATAACCATTTTCCAAAAGAGAAAAATGAATGCAATGTGCTTGTTAAAATTAGTTTGATACTAATTCATCCCCAAGATTAATGTAAGTGGCAGAATTTTACAGATATATTCTGTTACTAGCCTTCTATATAATTCTAATAATGTAACTTCTGTATTTGTACTGATAATATTCTATAAACTGGTATCAAAATATCCTCAAAATACATTTGACAAATATATTGAGTTCATTGTACTTAACTTTTCACTTTAGCTAAAAACTACAAATCTGACTCTTGGAGAGTTTCTTTGTCACATATACTGATAAATGTTAGAAGTCACTGTTTCTCCACATACCTTTGGTTGCTAATAGCTTCTTCTGTTCATAGTCAAATGCCTAAAAATTAAACAGACAAAAAAAATGCCTTAATTGCTGCTTTAACTAAATGTCATTCTAGTACACAGCTCTTTCTAAAAACAAAGGTTTTCTTCACGGTCCATGAATTCATCTCGGAAGAATGTTAAGCACTGCACAACAACATAACAGTCATCCAATAAAAGCCTGACATACATCAAATATTAATTCAAAGCTAGCTAATTAGTACTGTAAATTATTCTCTCCCACTTTCATGTGAGTAATGTTATAGCAGTATGTGAAGTGTGCATACGTGGTGTTTTTATGAGGCATTATTTGAGACTTTTTTTCTGAATTGCCTGTTGACTGAGTATTTAAAACCCTAGAGAAAATAAGTCTACTTATAATAGAACAACAGATAATTATGCAACTATACTAAGCAGCATTTTTCTGCATACCATTTAGATTCTTTTCCATTTTCATTTTAAAGTATCTTATTCAGAAAAATAGCTTGATATAATACAGGACAATATGCTGTTATACTACTCATCATAATGGGAGTCATACAATGTATATAATTTTTATGCCAATTCTTTAGTAAATTACACTTGTATTCCCCATTATAGATCAGTAAATCTGTTCATACAAATATGCATTGTTCACACTTATATTAATCAAACTTACCAAGTTAAGGGATATCTGAAGTTGTACAGGACTTTTCCCCTTGGAAGATTAGAAATTTGATCATGATTAAAGTAAAGGCTTTGAATTTCAACCACCGATTGACCATCTATTTACTGCAGAGGCCTGTGTAAAGAGCTCATCTAAAGGGGGAAATTTACCAGTAGAACTATACTGCTATGATTATATGGACAACTTCATGGCATGGCAGCATAACACCTGTGTAGACATTGGTGAACTAAACTAAACTAAACTAAACTGGAAAAGAACACTATTTATTTTGAAATAAGTGTCTACACGGGGAGTTACACTGGCATAACTATAACTGTATAATTCTAGCAATATAGCTTTGCTGGTGAATGAGCCTGTATAAACAAATCCTAAATCACCAGCAGGACTTCACTAACAGACAAATAGAAGAATGCATGTTGACATGTCTTATGAAAAGTCTCAAGTAGTCTTTCTTTGTAGAACAACTAATATTCATGTTCATTCTCAAAGCCGTAACGTTTTCACATGCATGCACATACAGATTGAGCATGGGAGTAGCGTAAATATTAGGAAAATCTTTCTAACTATCATGATAATTAATTATTGGAACAGATTATTTTGGGAGATTGTAGAATCCCTGTAACTGGAAGTTTATATGAACAGATTAGCCAAGCATCTGAAGAGATAGTCTAGGTATGCTTAATTCTTCCTGAGCAAGGAGAAACGAACTAGATAATTTCTTGAAGTCTCTTTCAGACCTATATTTCTATTAAATTAAGTTTATTCTCTGCTTATATTTGTATTATATTTATTCTTTTCTTTAGTCAGAATTTTGAGAAGAATATTCCAGGGATCTTTTTTGTTTGAATAGCAGGTTTTATTGCTCTGTAATACATTCTTTGGTGTGCATATACAAGAATGTGATTGGACAAATCCAGCTAGAAAGGAAAGTTGCAACTGTATTCAACTGCGTACTTGAAAAGACTGTATAACTCTCTCCATCAAATCATGTTACAAAATACCTCACATCCACATATAACCCAAAAAACCTAGTAACCTCAAAAGTTCAAAAACCAGGATTTTATATAAAAGCATTCTGTTTTTGCTATTACAGTAAAACTCCATTGGTCCGGCATCCAATGCTCCGGCACTCCTGATGGTCCGGCACCATCGGGAACCTGGAAGTGCTCCAGGCAGCCGGACAATTGGAGCTGCTCTGCGCCCAGCTTCCCTGATTCAGCTGCTGCTGAAACTGACCAGCAGCTGAATCGGGGAAGCCGGGGGCAGAGCAGCTGGAGTGCTGCCGCGTTGGTCTCGCAGCGCCAAGGGGCGGCGCTACCGGACCAACCCGGCAGCACCCCAGCTGCTCTGCCGCAGGCGTCCCCGATTCAGCCGCTGCTGAAACTGACCAGCAGCGGCTGAATCAGGGGTGCCGGATTATCAGATATACCGGACTATCGGAAGGGGGGGGGGAATATAAGGAGTCTGGGGTGGCAACCCCCTCCCCCAGAACCCTCATAGCCCCCCCTTCCAATAGTCCGGCATATTTGATAATCCGGCACCCCCTGGGTCCTAAAGTTTACTGTATCAGGTAAGGCCTGTTACAATCAAATAGTAGCTGGATTCATTTGTACATATTCCTAGACACAGTTACATTTCTCTTTGTCTAGCATTAGATGTAAGATAATACTTATGCTTTACATTACCAGTTTTAAAATGCACTACATTGTGAGAGGAAATATCACCTCCAAATGTGAAGTGGATAATACTGTTTGATGCTTATAATGAAAATATTGACAAGTCATGTAGCGAGCCAAACCAGTTACTAATTATTATTTGCACTGGACATTTATCAATGTTTACAATGCACTAGTTTACATGCATCCAAAGAGGATGGAGAGAAGCTATTCTCAGCGGTGACAGATGACAGAACAAGGAGCAATGGTCTCAAGTTGCAGTGGGAGAGGTCTAGGTTGGACATTAGGAAAAACCATTTCACTAGGAGGGTGGTGAAGCACTGGAATGGGTTACCTTGGGAGGAATCTCCATCCCTGCAGTCCCGGCTTGACAAAGCCCTAACTACAGGGTTGGCCCTGCTTAGGGCTGGGGGCTGGACTCAATGACCTCTGAGGGCTCTTCCAGCCCTAGGATTCTATGATTTGGGTGTATGAATAGGTACCTGCATATTTGCATATGATGATGGTGGAGCAAGGCGCACTCTGTCAGAATTCTGTTGAGCAGCTGCTGCTCTCTCGGCTGCTCGTTCACTCCCAGGGGCTTTTTTATCAGCCACGGGGCCTTCAGAAGCACTCAGCTCAGAATCAGAAAGCAATCTCTCTGTGGTGCTGGAAAAGTAAAGGAAGCTATTTTTCTGAATTGTCTATAATGCTTTCAATCCATCACTATTCTTTGTTTTAAACAGTGAACATTCAGTGAAGTGAATGAATGAACTACTTTCCCCAAAAACGTTAGCAGTAAGTTTGAAGAAAAACCACTAGACAAACATTACATTTTTAGAAACATTTTCTAAGGCCTCAACTTTCCTTTTACAGACATATGTTGTGTTAACTAAAGATAATATATTTTCAAGGCTCACTTCTTTATTCTCCATGGCTGCATGTTTTTCTGGGATTCATTAATACATACCTCCCCTTCCCCCCCACACACACCAGATTCCATTTTTTTCTCCAATTCAGATGTTGTTCACCTTGTTTAATCTCAATAGAATCAAAATTTATCTTAAAATCCTGTGAATAGCTGAAACAATAATTTCAAGAATAGCCTTAGAAAATACTCCATATATGTATATGTAGATATTTGAGTTTGAGTATCAGAATCGTCTACGAAGTTCTAAAGCTGTGTAGCTAGAATGAGATATGTGCTGAGACTACTGAGTAGAAGCAACTGTAAATCACAAAAAAATCACAAGAAATAAGCTAATTGAGCAAGATAAAATTTTGGCTGAGTAAAGAAATTATTTCCTAACAATGACTATTATGACTAGATTCTAAAAAAAAGTAGTGGATGACTCGTATAAACAATTTAAAACTAGATTGGACAAAATATGATAATATTTACAATACACAAGTAAATAGAGAATACACCTGCATTGAAAAAATGATTTAAAGGGGTTTTTCCACTTCTATTTTTCTGTTTTTAATCAAGCATTTGAAAATGTAGAAGTATTTCCATTAGAAGCTATTTTTCATTAAGAAAACAAATTTCAAGCACTGTATTTATAACTGCAAATGAAAGATAGCTAAGAAAATCCACTAGTATTACAAAAGAAAACAAAAAAATGTAAACAGCTGTATGTACCAAAAGCTCCTTGGAGAGCCAGTCTTGGAGAAAGCAGAGGGGAGGAAGGGTGGCTTTTGGTCGGTAGATTGAGAGGGAAGAATTCTTAGATGTAAAAAATGTTTACAATATTAACAACTTAAAGGGATTGTTATAAAACAAATAATAGTAGTTAATTAAATTAAGTAGGATTCAAAATTAGTTTGATTTAAATAAATGAAAAAGTTAAAAAATACTAAATATTATTATAAGGCATCACTAAATTCTATACCCATGAGTGTGACATACTGTAAATGAGAGTTTTTGGTTCCTTGTAGTAATTCTACTGTTTGCCGCTTAGTACAGGACTGTTTGGAAGAACTCATCATCTGCTTCAGATCACTGGCATTTGCTGAATGTGATGGACTTCTTGGCATTCCCACTTCTACAAAAGCATCATTGCAACCTACAGCACGGAGAAAAAAAGAGTCCTTTCATATGCTAATAACCTTGGTGTACAGTATATTTAGAAAATTAGCAGCAATAATTTAAATAGAATTAAAACTATTTCACATGTAAAGGCATATAAAGGGCTAGCATTTAAAGGATGTATTGATTTTCTCACAGTTAGAAATCACACAATAACATGTTTGCATAATTAGGAGCACACACTCATATCATATGTGTACTATAAAACTAAAGGGATATATTTTCAAGTTATGTGCAATGTTAGCCATGTCATAGCAAATAATGTCAAAACCAATAACCTAAGGTTTAAAATTTGTGGTGATTTTGGTTGACTTCAGTTTTGGCGACCGTATGAAACACCTTAAGGCAGGGCTACTCAATTTTGGAAGCCCGAGGGGCTACAATGATACTCATAGCACATGCCGAGGGCTGCAACTTAAGCATGGTTGCATATACATGCAAATGTTTATGCAAATAGCTTCCTTCACACTGATGGGCATGAATACAAAGATTAAGGCAAGACTACACAACATGCAGGGCCCACTTAAGTCAGTTCTGCTGATATTAATAAAATGCAATATTTACCCGATTTCCACCCATATGACAGCACTTTTACCGAGCAATGACAGTCCAGGAATTTAACTATTAAAACACATATCAACAGAAGACCATTATATAGTGTGTTCCCAGTGGAGGTCATGTTCAAAGGACCCCACACGTGGGCCACGTGTTGAGCACCATGTAAACCCAAATCACACCGCAGGACACGAATAAACGGGCCATGGGACACACGAGGCCAATGGGCACATGTTGAGTAGCCTTGCCTTACAGGGTATGATTTCCAGAAGCTGGATATTCAGCATTTTCTAACAATTTGGAACCCTTTAAAGTATTTTGAGCCATACAATCAAAAACTGAGGCACCCAAAAATTGCCAGTTACTTAAAAAAATTTAGCCCAATTTCAAGTTGAAAAATTTCTCCATGAGAAACTAGTGTTGCTTTCATAATGATCAACAATTAAAGGCACAAAAGACTTGTGTTTAAATTTTCACTACTCAAATATTTTTATTTTTTATTGATGTAAATACATTTTATTATGTCATTATTGGGGTGACCATGAACCTAAAAAGAGATAAAAGACTAGTTTTGCCTGATGTCAGTAAATACTAGGGAGTTTAATCTGTATGCACAAAAACAATTGCAGCAAGGGAGGATCAGGTTGGACATTAGGAAAAAAATCCTAACTGTCAGGGTGGTTAAACACTGGAATAAATTGCCTAGGGAGGTTGTGGAATCTCCATCACTGGAGATATTTAAGAGCAGGTTGGATAGACATCTATCAGGGATGATCTAGACGGTGCTTGGTCCTGCCGTGAAGGTAGAGGACTGGACTTGATCACCTCTCAAGGTCCCTTCCAGTCCTAGGATTCTATGATAACCTATGATTAATCTTATTTAATACCTTTAAAAAAGTTGATTTTTTAAAGATAAAAAATAACTATATTAAATTTGTAAACTCTAAAGAACTAAATTAAATTAAGTAAAATATTGAAACAGGAACATGGACTGGCTAGGATCTCTGGGTCATCAAGTCCAGTCTCCGCTCACCAGCATTATCACAAGCAACCTGGCTTTATAATCCTTGACTTGAATTTATCAAGCTCTATTTTAGCACTAGTTAGATTATTCATGCCCTACTATTATTGGGATTCTATTCAAGAATGTTACTCCATTGATAGATAAAAAGGCTTTTGTGTTCGCTTAATTAGTTCTTCTCTCTCCCTAACGTTTACCTCTATGATTTATTTAGAATGGGAAGTCATATTCCCCCATTACCCTTAATTTTGCGAGGCTAAGACAGACAAGATCTTTCAGTCTCCTCTCCAAAGGTAGATTCTGCATTCCCCAATCATCCCAACAACCCTGCAGTTGTTCCAGTCTGAACTTCTCCTCCTTGAAAAATGTGACTGGAAGTGTACACAGTATTGCAGATGAGATTTCACAAGATGCCCACTCAAAAAATTGCCTGGTTTTAATGTCCATTAGGCCTAGACTATACAACAGTTAGTACTAATAGAAGTAAGTAGGGTAAGGAGCTGAGTCTTAACAACTACTAGGGGGCTGTACCCACTGTTTGCTACGCTCGCCTAACCCCTTATCTCTGTCCGCTTTCGCTTTGCGGAGAGAGACTGATGACATGACGACCTCATTTTGTCGCCCAGCAGGAAGATTCTGTCATCTGTCAGGAAAAACTTTTATTGATTTTTACACACACACTCACACTCCCCCCCGCCCCCCAGTGGTCCGGCACGCCTGATGGTCCGGCACCATCTGGAACCCGGAAGTGCTGGACAATTGGAGCTGCTCTGCCCACGGCTTCCCCAATTCAGCCACCGCTGAAACTGACCAGCGGCTGACTCCGGGAACCCCGGGGCAGAGCAGCTGGGATGCTCTGTCCCGGGCTTCCTGGAGTCAGCCGCTGATCAGTTTCAGTAGTGGCTGACTTGGGGAAATCTGGGGCAGAGCAGCTGGGGTTCTGCCGGGTTGGTCCCGCAGCGCTGAGGGGCGCATCCCCCCCACTCCATCCCAGACCCCTCATAGCCCTCCCTTTCAATAGTTCGGCATATTTGATAATCCGGCACCCACTGGATCCTAAAGGTGCCAGATTATCGGAAGTTTACAGATGCAGTTACTTCGCTACAAATGTGCTCACGTCCATATAGCTTACTCCTCTTCCACATGGGAATAAACTGTGTGTGGTGTAAACCAATTTAAACCAGTTCATCTGCATCCATACTAGTTTTAACTAGTGGTATAGTTAAAGTGGTGCAATTTTAATGTGCAGACAATATGTAATCTATGGGACACCATATATGTTAGTGGTGGGCATGCTTTCCTCCAGTGTGGCTGAGAATAAAGTGATGACACAAAAATTAATCTTACCTTTCATAATTTCTCTGTAAAATGCATAAACGCTGTAAAACTAATACTATTACCTACCAGAAGAATACAGGTCAAATGCTAAATCTTACCTTCTGTTGTATCTGACTTGGTAGTCACTTGTTCTGAGGTGCTATGGCTATTTGTCTGCCTTGATGGATCACTGTGGTTTGTGCTCAACACATTTTCTCCTAATGATGAGGCAGATAGTGTAGCATACTTGATACTTGATGTCTGAAATTATTACAAAAACGTGTTTAAGTGTATCTTGGTTTTTTACTCCCTTTTCTCTTCAGGAAGGCAGGCTACTCGTACATGGATTTAGGGAGGATAATTTGACAATGTTTTTCAAGTTACATTTTCTAAGCACGTTTATTACAGTTTGAAATAAATGATCATGAAGTGTCATGATGGATAAAAGCAATTAGTTTTTCCCTAGAGTGTTTCACAGGAAGCTCAGTGCAAACAGAGATCAATTTTTCCAGACAAGATCATGCCACTTACCTTTACATGACCATTTAAAGAAGTTGAACCTTTTTTGCTCTCTGATTGCATGCCATTCACATGAATGTCAACGGGAGTCAAGCCAGGAGGGGGAGATGGAGTATTCTGACTATAATTAGGCACTCCAGATAGAAGAATACTAGTTAAAGCAGCTTGGGCAGAAGATGGTATCATCAGATGTGGTATGGCAGAAAAACCTGTTACAAAAATTAAGTAATATTCTAGTTCACTGACAAGTTGAGTACATCAGGCTGAATAAAAGCTGAACTTTACAAAAAAAATTTGAATTATAATTATGTTGAAAATGATCAAACCCAATTACTTAAAGCACTATTCAACAGTTGATTTGTATCCTAACACTTTTTTTCAGAAAAAAAAGCGTTTATGACATTATAAAAGCACCACTATGTTCACTTAAAAATTTTCATATTTGGATATTTATGTATTTACAAGAATATACATTGTAGAATTCTTTCCTTGTATGAGACTAAAGAACACACGGGTCTCTCTTTTATGTTTTTCTTTTGAGTGACAAATTAAGAACTAATTTCATTTATATTAAACTTTTACTGACCTGTGGCACTTGTATTGGCAAGAGATGTTGCCCACAACGTAGGGCTGGGTGTGCCTGAACCTGGGCTCTGTAAAGGACTAACGGAACTATTAAGGGCATTCAAGAGAGAGTTTGGAGCAGTAGAGGTGTTGACAGATAAGGCAGTAGGACCTAAGAGACCTGTCAAAACAATCATATCTCTTTATATATATATTTATACAGGAACTGTAAAGAACATTTTAAAACAGAAATAAGTCGTGACAGAATTGATTTTTAAAAAATGGAAGTGTTATTTCTGCTGAGAAAGCACACACTTAAATTAGGACACAGATTTCTGAAGTGCGTACATGTGAGTGGGGCAAGGGGAGTCACCAAAAACCATCACCTACTATGACTTGCGGGAGCTAAGAAAAAGGAAGGAGAAGCTCTGCTCCTCCTAATGCCCTGGTTCCCACCACTATGGTACTTCAGTGAATCTACCTGCTGCTCAGGGGAGCTGACAGCTTCTGTGGGCCCTTTAGCAAGGTGTATGGGAGGGTGGCTTTGCGCTCCCAGAAGGGTTGGGGCCTTGGGTGGATGGGGCAGGGACAATTGGCACTCAGTGTTGCACAGACTGCAGTGCGTCGTCCCACTAACACTCAGCACAATGTTCCGGTGGTGATTTCAAGGGCTTGGGGCTCCAGCCTCCTTTGCAGTAGCAGCAGCTGGGAGTTCTGGACACCTTGGAATCACCAGGCACAGGAGCAACTGCCCCTTTGCCTCCCCCACATTGGTGGGCCTGCTACTGCTGCTCATGCAGCTGCTAAATGCAGCTACTCTCTCTTCTCTTCCCTCTACTGTTTCTGGGAAGTACTGATTAAAGATGATGCGGAAGGAAAAGCTACTTTGCAGCCCTTTTACTCTCAGCCAGCTCCTCACTTTCTTTCAGCTGTGCGTTTGTTGGAGCACAGGGTGTGCAAACGTGGAGGAGGAAAGTGTGAGGAAGCAGCATGGCCTCACTTGGGAAGAACGTGCTGCCTCCCTCCATCAGTAAACCTCACTACCCTTAAGAATCCACAATCCCATTCAGCATCCACCATCCATGCACAAAACTCTCCATGTTTTGTAACTGTATAAAGTACTGGCAGTATGGGTGAGAAACATGGTAAAAAATGTAGAGATGGCACAAGCCAAGACTCCAGCTGCAACCCCAGACATAACCATGGATTCTGGGATGCAACCATAAAGAATTGCGGGATTCTGAGTCATAAGAAAATATGGCTCATTTGACCACTTCTCTGTCAGTGATGGTTCTGCATGGAGGAGGTTTGAGAATCCAAGTACAGGCAGTCCCTGGGTTACGTACAAGATAGGGACTGTAGGTTTGTTCTTAAGTTGAATCTGTATGTAAGTCGGAACTGGCATCAGCCGCTGCTGAAACTGATCAGAATTGCGGGATTCTGAGTCATAAGAAAATATGGCTCATTTGACCACTTCTCTGTCAGTGATGGTTCTGCATGGAGGAGGTTTGAGAATCCAAGTACAGGCAGTCCCTGGGTTACGTACAAGATAGGGACTGTAGGTTTGTTCTTAAGTTGAATCTGTATGTAAGTCGGAACTGGCATCAGCCGCTGCTGAAACTGATCAGT